AACATTTGAACATAATAATAATAATTTGACACAATAATAATAATAATACACCATAATTCCATTGGATGCCTTTAAATGACGTTAACGTTGTTTCTCGTTAAATGTATTGTAACCATGTCCCGCTAGAACGTAATAATGTATTCTATATTTACCTTTTTTTCAGATCCTGACATAGAACATTCTCTCACTGCTGTTATTGCTGTTGGAAAAGGATGAATAGTTTCTACCTGTTCCTGGCGGTTGCCGCCATCTTGTCTCAAAATGCCCGATCTGCCGACATCCTTGTCGCGACATTAACGTTCGGTAGTCCCTGGATCGACGTGGCGAAGATTGCCGAAGTCCTGGCTTCCCGAGGACATGACGTCACCGTGTTGGCCCATGCTAGTCAAAAGAGCGACCTCATGCGGAAATGGTCAACCTTGCAATACGAAACGTTTGGAGATCCAGAAAAACCACCGTCGGTTAAGGAATTTCTAGAAACTTTGCCTCGAAAGATGGTTAGTACCTTGTGCTGAATTTATAATTTTAATCCGAACCCGGCCGGGCTGTTTGAATGAACGAAAAATAGAAAAAAATGCATATATGCATATCAAGAATATTCAAAGTTTATATAAAGTTGTATCATATTTGTTATAATGTATCCTTTTGCTGTGACCTGTATACAATATCCTGAATGTACATACTAAATGTACAATATTCATTCTTAAAAAATACGAGTCAGGGACAATAAACCGATGTTACAGCACTTTGATAAAAATTCTTATATTAATATATATTAGCCTCGGTTCTTTTTTTTTATTACCGTTACTTGATATTGCAATGTTAATGATTTATATTGCGATACCTTTTATTGTGATTGTTACAGGCATTTTCTTCATCTGATGTCTCAGGCTTCCTGGCCTATCTCAACACCTCGACGTTTGCTCTGCTTGACTTTACTGAAGAGACGCTGAGCGACACTCAACTACTGAGGAAACTGAAGGACAGTCACTATGACGTTGTCCTGACGTACGCTGGTCCCTCCTGTGGGCCGCTCGTGGCGCAGTACCTGGACCTGCCGCTAGTCTGCACAATGAGGTCTTTCCCTATGGGACAAGGTGTGTTCATATTTGTACAGGGCACAGCCCAGTAATAGGGCTTTCCTATGTTAATATATGGGAACCTTTAGACCTTGAAGAACATACATTGGCAGGGTAGTCCAACTTCTCAAGTCTCCATTCACCAAATATGAAAAAAACCTACGCACCTAAACTATGCGAGAATTCAACCCGAACATTGAGAAGTGACCCCTGACCTCTCTGGACAGCTGATGACCGCATGTAAACCTATATCTTCTTCAGCGAGCCAGACAACACAAACATGGCTGCAAGTCTGTTTTTTTCAACATTGCCAACAAAATGAAAATACTACAACCCATACCTATAACATTCAAGTCCAAAACAACAACATTTCCCAAGAAAAAGACTTCTTTACACTTCACATTACATTTGCATCTCTATGTAATAGAACTGGACCCTAGGTGCCTGCGCTGATTACTGACCTTTGCCCTACAGTGCAGGCCAACATAAATATTGTAAAGGAATCTGAGTCTCCCTTTTAATATACTGAGACTTAGTACCTCCTATTCCTGCCGGAGAACTCACAGTTAGATACTCCGTGCTGTCCTACTTCGCGTTATAAGAACTTCCCCATTCCTTTTTGTGTAACCTGACCAACCTGATCAGTATTTACTACGCAATGAAATTACATTTGCGTTTATTATGCACATTATGTCTATTGAAAGAAACGTATTATTTTTGCTCTATTTTTGCTCTTCTTCAAACAAATAAGGTCCATGACCTGAACCAGACGTCTGACACCATGTTAACTAGTGTTGGGTCACACCATGTTGCAATTTTATAGCAGAACCTTTTACCGTATATATGAATGTGTTTGAGTAAGAGTAATTAACAGTCAGAGCAGAACATATGCGAAGGTAAACATTATGTATTTGCTGTGCAAATGTTTCCTTTCTAGTTATTAAATTACTTTATCCTTTTTTAAACATAATTCAGACATCCGAGCCACTGGATGCCCAAATCCTCTAGCTTACATCCCCACAGTGTCGTCAGGACTGTCTGATAGGATGACATTCCTGCAGAGGGTCAAGAACGTCTTGGTTTACTTCGCATTTTCTACCATGTCACAGCTTTTCTTCGAGAAGAGTTACGACGACATCGCAAAACGGTTTGTTATATACTTGCACGTGCACACATGTTTTAAGGATAGTCTATACGGGTTCCTCTATTTAATCCTCTGCAAATGTTTTTATTACCGCAAATGTATTTATTACGGTACTTATAGGGAAAATGTGTAAACTTTAAAGTTTCTTTGTGATGGTGAAAATTATAGCATAAAACTCATTTTTCTAATTACCTGCGAAATGGTGATATAAAATGTCAATAATTTGATAAGTGCACAATTACATGTATTATTGACTAACCAAAAAACATAGGAGCTGACAACATTCAAATCAATGTTCTTTGGAACATGGCCATTATACTACAAGTAATGTGTAATGTCCTTGGTTGGAACTATGACATAATTGCAGAAGTAGGTGTTCCCAAGGACATTAAACTACGTGTAATGTCCTTGGTGTTCCTTATATGGGCAAACGTGTTTAAAACGACTGTCAGGAATGTTCTATTTTTGCCAACAGAACTATTGGCGACAACTTCACCATCTCTTCTGCTCTTGCAAGAACGGAAGTGTGGCTCTACCAATCAGATCTCATGTTCGACTTCCCGAAACCCATGATGCCAAATATGGTCAGCATAGCAGGTCACGTGGCTCAGGACATCAACCCGCTTAGTGAGGTCAGTCCATAGAAAAGAAGAATTCGGAGATATCAGACCTCCATGAAATATTTAGATCTTGTGTAAATGTTATTTTTAGGATTTGTCTGATATATTAAATCTGCCATTTAAAAAAAGCCCCATTATTTAAGACAACTACTGAGTACAACGTAACTCGTTTAGAATCTCCTATGGCAATACCCTTCTATAGTGCAAGGGAATAAGATCATGTAACGAAAAGCACAAGCTGTCAGTTGTCAAGGAGGTCATTTAAGGTAAAAACATGTAGGGGTGGGACTGGTGAGATGGTTACCCTCTGGTGTGTTGTTGTCTTGTTGGAAGTGTTGTTCGTTTGCATGTGTTGTCTGCAAGCGCAGCAAGAAAAACGTCAAACTGAAAAGCATGTGACCAGTTTTCAAAGTCAAGGAAGAATGAAAACTTTTTTCGAGAAGGTCATTGCGTTTTGGGTAACGTTTGCTTGTTTGTAGACAATGTTTATTTTATCAAACCCAATGCAAAGAAATATTTAGCCGTTTCGACACCCCACACTACAGTCGCTTTTGGCATGATGTTCCTTTTCTTGTAGTATTGGCAGGATGTTCCTGTCAAGAAGACTTTCTTGACAGATGGTCACTATTGACATATGGCAGATTCATAGATGGGTACGCTTATAGACGGTTACGTTCATAGATGATTACGTTTACAGATGGTTACTTCCAGACTTACATAATGTTTTAACATCTATGGTTGCCATAACTTCTGCTAACAACACAGGATCTGGAGAAGTTAGTGCAGAGTTCTGGAGATGACGGTGTTGTGTTGGTAACTTTCGGCTCCATGGTGGCGACCATGCCCGCAGAGATAGCCGACATGCTGGCCGCTGCTTTCGCCCGTCTGCCGCAGAAGGTGGTGTGGCGCTACACCGGAACACCTCCGTCAAGTCTGGGTACCAACACCAGGACCATGGAGTGGGTGCCACAAAACGATCTACTAGGTAAATATTACCTGTGGCCGTTGGAAGAAAATTATACCCTTGTAGTATAAGGGGCATAGAATAAGCAACAAACGTGTCTAAACCGTTTCTATAATGATATTTTTGTTAGTCGTTAGGCTACAATAATTCAATTTTATAGATGACATCCGCGCGCATTGATTTTTCGCCTGATCTAGAAGCTCCACGGAACTCAATAAATCAGTACAGTACCGACTCATAAATGTCGCAAAAGGTCAACATGTGCCGACAAGAGTCTATATCACAAATTCACAATACCAGCTTTGTATTCCTGTGGTTTAACAGGATTTTTTCTTGGCTGTTTTTATTAGCCCGCGTGGAAAAGCTAGTTTGGGGTTATTCAGAGGATGTCATCCATAAAATTAAGTCAGTGTGGCCTTACAAACAGGGCGATACATCGACTTCTTATAATAGTGTTCTTCGTCATACTGTATAACAAACAGCTCATCCCAAGACGAAGGCATTCGTATCACACTGTGGTTACAACGGAGTAGCAGAGGCCATGTACCACGGGGTGCCGCTGGTCGGCATGCCTCTGTTCAGTGACCAACACGACAACATTGCCCGGATGGTGGCCCGCGGGATGGCGGTGTCACTGGACATCCACACCGTGACTTCGGAGGAGGTTTACCAGGCTATCACTACCGTTATTTCAAATCCTGTGTAAGTGTAAAGCTTTTTACAACTGCTATATTTCATTCCCTACATCTTTTTGGGTGTGTGAAACATTTGAGGCAACCAAAACATTTTCAGGGCATCCAAAATGAAATTAATGAATTTGCAAAGTGAAATTTCTGTTCATTCTTTCAATTTAGTAAGTTGAATCAACCCTACCCCGTAGCGTACTGATATCTATAAGGCAAACATGCTGCTGCCGGTTGCTTCTTTTGTATCATAGGTAGGTTCTAGTTTGTATGGGTTGAGACACAATAAATGATTTATTTTTAAGCTATTCAAAGCGCTTCAGGTATGAAATAATGACGAAAATAAATGACGTTAATATCAATATCAAACGGATTTCCTGATCCACTACATACATATGTTTTGCTTCCCTTGAATTGCATTGTATGACTTTACTTTTCCTTTTTTATTAGTGAACCAAATACTTCTTAGGTGTTGATACAGCATCATTGTATACGTGAATAGATTAAAGGTGTGGAACGTCTTCGACTCAAACTCTACTGTCCAATGCTTCAGGTACAAGGAGAATGCCAACAAGGTTTCCTCACATCTTCGTGACCAACCACAGTCGCCCATGGAGCGGGCAGTCTGGTGGATAGAACACGTCATCAAACATGGCGGCCTCCCGCATCTCAGGTCGAGGGCAGCCGAACTTCCCTTCTACCAGTACTATCTGTTGGATGTCACTGCTCTGATTGTGGCAGTTCTATCTGCCGTGTTGTTGTCTTGTTGGAAGTGCTGTTCGTTTGCATGCGTTGTCTGCAAGCGCAGCAAGAAAAACGCCAAACTGAAAAGCAAGTGACCATTTTTCAAAGTCAAGGGAGAATGACAACTTTTTCTCGAAAAGGTCATTGCGTTTTGGGTAACGTTTGCTTGTTTGTAGACAATGTTTATTTTATCAAACCCCATGCAAAAAAAATATCAAGCCTTTGTGACACCCCACACTACAGTCGATGTTGACAGGACGCTCCTTTTTGTAGTATTGGCACGATGTTCCTGTCAATACGACTTTCTTGCACAATTGACAGGGTGACTAACACCTAGAGCGAGCTTGTGATCCTGTTAATTAACTCTTGTATGAGCATGCACTGAGACAAAAACAAGTAGAACGGTGCAAAATACCCTTCACATTATATACAAATGTATCAATAAAAAACAAAATACCTTGTGTTTTGGTACATTGATTTCAGATACATGTAAATTGTGTTTCAGAGTCAATGCCCATATTGTGGGCGAGATGTTTATGACAAAGAAGTAGCTCAGTAGTCTTGTGGGTGTGTCATTCAGGACTAAGGACAGGTCAAGGAGATAGTTGACCGAGCTCGCTCAAAATTTTTCCTTAACTTATCTATTACACTGGTATTACTATTACAAAATGTAACTCAAATGTTGTAAAAATGGAAATGAATCACATGTATGCAACATATTACTGGAGGACACTGGCAGACTAATATAGGTGCTATGTGGGTGTGTCATTTAGCGCTAAGTACAGGACAAGACGTATTGTGTGTGTGTGTGTGTGTGGGGGGGGGGTTATAGGACTAAGTACAAGAACAGTAGTCTTGTGGGCGTGTCATTCAGCACCAATGACAGGTCAAGGAAACAGCTTTTTTACCCTCAAGGATCCCTGTTCAACATTTTCATGGATTGGCGGGAGATACACCTTTCTAAAGCCAACATGTTATATGGGAAAGTAATAAAAGAATGCTATGACTAGTTCCCTACACTGGGCCCCTGACGATGTAGCTGGAATTATCGATCTTTGTGTGATAAGATCACGACATTTTCTGTGCAACCGACGAAATTTTGCTTCATTCTTACTTGTAGATCTGTCTTTTTATTACGTCCATGTTTTTTTTCAGACACAAGGTGTTTGACACGATTGCAGCTAAAAGTAGTATGTAATGGAACAATGGGAAATAAAACGCTACAATGAATCCAATGACAGGCCGCCATTTTGAATCTTCCGGGGGATCGCATCAAAACAAGGCTCTTGGCTGTACCTACTTAGGCTTTTGTGTATAACACCTATGTCATCTTCGGTGGTATATTCAGTTCTCTTTTGGTAAAATACTTCTATGTCCCTGCCATGTAAATATTTTAGAATGTTTATCCAGCTAAAAGTAATAAATGAACATTTATTATATATATTTTCTAAGTAAAATCGGTAGTTGTATCGGATGTAGGGAGTCGCCACTCATCAATTTTCGGCTGACCTAGGCATCTGTTTATATAACAATATGGAATCCTGTTTCAGTGGAATGAATTATGGAGAAACCTTGAGTGGACCGAGGTCACATTGTGTTACCTCTTTAAGATTTTCGGGAGTCTTTTATGGGACTTAGGTGTGGCCTGTGTAGGATTTTTGGGAGTCTTTTATGGAACTTAGTGATCCGTATGTGTTAAGCGTACGATTCTCGGTAATCATTCAGTGTCCGAAGCACACAGTTTGTGTCTGGTCGTAGTCAAGATTTGAGTCAGTACACAGTGAGTGTGAATTGCAACGCAGTGTATGATTCAACAGACCAGGATCATACAATTTTTTTTGCACAGGAACGTTTAAACAACGACAACAAGACTGGCAATGAAAACATACATTTCCATGGCGACGGTGGTTGCTGTTAGGGTTATTGTTTGCATGGCACTGCCATGATTTCATGATTTTTAGGAAGACTTGGTACAGTGCACTCATCCCCTGAGTGTATAGTGTACGAGCCCTGGGGTCACAGAAAGTAGGGCCATCCGGGACAGAGAGGTCTTCCCAAGGGCTCCAGGAATGTGGGCATTGATGTGGGTCAGAGAAATGCCTGTGGACATTCCATTCCTGTGGACAAAATGCCTGTACCATTCCTAGACTTCTTGCAAACTGCACACAATACTGTACCATTAGGCTCCTCCCTGAGACGTCGCCTAAAACAAAAACAACTCGGCGGCCTACCGCTCATTGGAGATGGGTTTCGATCGATGACAACTGTTGATTGAGGACAGGGTCGTGGGAGGGGGGCTGCCGCCGTCGTGCTCCCTCGAGGTTCCTGATACTGTACAGGGGCTACGCTATACACTGGGCTGGATGCCAAAATCCTGGGCCCCGGCATCCTGTTTTGTTCGGTAGACTGAGGCAGTTTGTGCGCCAACTTAGATTACGCACTCCGGTGATCTGATGAGGTCCCGCCCAGAGGGATACTGTGGGCCAGAATGAGAATATCCTCGCATGCAATAGTTTACACCGTTACCTCAGATAATATAAGAAGCAATGACGAGAAGGCCTTAACCAAGGCCTCATGAAAGTACTTTGATTTATTTCAATCTTAAAAAAAAAATTCTTGTATCCATCGGTCAGGCGTGGTAAGACTGAACAGATCAAACCTGTTTACTGCGCCAGATACATCCCCCATCATCAGTACATACTGTAAAAGGTGGATGACCATTATGCCGTAGTTACGGAGATGGTGGACGCCTTCTTTCTCTTAGGAGACAGCATTTAGTAGTAAGTACGAGCTGGAAGAGATAGCGCACAAGGCTTAGTGATATGTTGATAATCAGGTTTGTTCTCCTTGGGGTCATTGGTTACCAGGCTGTGTCATGACCTGTGCGACTGAACAGGAAGCTTGCTGGGACAGGGGAACGTTACGGTTTTAGTACCACAAAATGCAGCATAATCTGCTCATACTGTCCCAGCGATACTATAAAATAATGATTTGGCAAACCTCAGCAGACTCACTGTGGTTCGTGGTAAAACAACCACAACAAAACCTGCGCGGTATCCCGATCGACGTGCCGACGTTTTGGGTATCGTCCCACACCAAGGGGCTAACAAGGGTGGTGTTTAAAAAACACACCGGCGACGTATTTTAATAATAAAATTATTACCTTCGCCAAGAAGGTTATGTTTTCAGAGGCGTTCGTGTATGTGTGTGTGTGTCTGTGTGTCTGTAAACAAGATAACTTGAGAAGGCCTTGATGGATTGTCTTGATATTTGGTAGGTGGGTAGGTCTTGATGAGACCTCAAAATGATTAGATTTGGGGCCCCCTAGCGGCTTGTTATGGTACTGCAGCTAAACTTCCGGTTTTCATATCTCATGATCTAAACATGTTAGGGTGACGAAATTTAGATGGTAGGTAGCTCTTGTGCTGGGGAAGAAGTGACGTGAGTTTAGACCCCCTAGCGGCTTGCTCTGGAACTGCAGGGCTATATGTTTGAAAGTATTCAAAAGAGGATAACTCAAGAACCGGTTGATAGATAGTCGTTATTGTTGGTATGTAGGTAGCTTACGTGATGCTTGATATAATTATGTGATTTGCATAATTTATGGGGAAATTCTATAAATCAGCTGCATTCCATGATAGGACTATTGAAGCTCGTGAAATTGGTAATTGAGAACGAGAGAAACACAGGCAGATATTGATTATGTAAATGAAGACCTAATTTGCATAATTAATTTTATAATTATGTAATGATAAGTGCCTGGAATTTCATACTTGTGGTATTTGAAAGATAAGTGAAGGTAAACACTTATCTTTATCTTATGAAAACATAATGTTTTCAAATTAGGACCTCATTTGCATAATTTATTAGGAAATGCTAGAATGGCATTGTTTGTTAATATAAGACTGTACATTGCGAATATGATAAATTGATATCCATGAAAATGAGAATGGAAATGAGCACCCTATTTGTTAAATCAGGGAGAATAATCTATAATTTGTCAGTCATAAAGATTAACATCATTTGGCGAAGGTATGAGATCGGGGACCTCTAGTTATTCGTGGTGTGGTGAAACCATATTGCTTTTTCTGATGTTTCTCCTCCTTCTCCTCCTCCTCCTGCCATATCTTTAAATGGATTCAGCTTCTTCATTTTAGGGCCTAAGGTCCTGAAATTTGGTATGGAGGTACAGTGGGCAAATACCCCTAGGCGTTTTTTAAATTATTTTGATACAGGCTTTTAGAATGGTTTTATTTGAGTTTTTTGGCTGTGTTATAGCAAATGTATTACTGTGTTAGTGTGCCTTGTTTACCACGTTGGGCATG